CGATCCAAAAAAAAAAAAATACATTCTAAAGTTTTCAAGATTAAATAATATATAAAATTTCTTGTAAATTACTTTTATTATTCTTTAATAAAAACTTAGTTAATATAAACTATTTTTCTAAGAAACTTATAGGCCTAATTATAGGCCTAAAACAGGACATTGATAATTAAATGTAATCATTGGTAAAATATTTAAGAATAAATTTGTAAAAAGTAGAAAGGAAAATGCTTATAGGCCTTGTAGAATGAGATAAATGTGATGATGTCGAAGTTACTTACTAGATTGAGTGGAAAATCTCTCTCTCCAAATATCCGGATTTGGCCAATAAACGGCAGATCTTCCGGGAAGATCCGAAATAGAAATTTTATGCAATCCATTATTAGAAGCACCAAAATATACGCCACTACTCACACCGATGGGAAAATGAGACAAGGGTCCTAACGAACCTAACGGTGCAGAAGTTGATAAAGTGGTAGGTCGATTGAGAATATCGTTTATCCCATGAGGTGTCCCGGAATTATTCGAAATTCCTATAGGATTTTTGATTATGCCGTATCTTCCTTGATTCTTAACGTCGGATATATGCTGTAAAGATCCAATTTGCGTATTACCCAATATTAAAGCATTCTGACGGGAAGCTTCTAAATTAAACATGGAAAACATGGAGTTATTCGAAGACATAGGAGAGTTAAATTCCAACATCTTAACTATGATCTTCCATTTGTGTTTCCGGCAAAGTGGCAAAGTGTAATATAGAAAATAGAAGCCTAGTATTAGGCGTGGTTAATTTTCTAATCTTCTATTGGTTCGATTCCTGTTCTTGCTCGCCGCTTACTCTCTTATTGGTCGATTTTTGAAAATATAAACCAACCTATAAACGTTGTTCCAATCACACGTAAGAACATGATTTAACTCCACCCACTTTATGTCGGAACTGCAGTATTGTTTGAATCTATTGAATCAAGTGGTTTGCATCGATTTCTCTACATCTTTTCTAACTTGATACTTGATTTAATAGGTGAGTCATTGGTGTGTGAATATATTTTCGTTCGAATTAGTTCTTGTTTCCACCAGAATTCAATTAGGTTTGTATTAAGTAAATCTAAAACTTGTTCCCGCCAATCGGGAGTATACCAGTACTGCACGTGCATCTTGTAAATTTCATTGGAATCAATTACGCCAGTCACGTGTCCGTTACAAAAGACACGTGTTTGGCTTTTAATAAATTTTGTTATGTGGAAAATAATTGGTTAATCGAATTTTCAGAGCTTTGTAAACGTTTCTCTATATTATTTATGCGCGTAGTGTAGATTTAATTTCTAAATAAATGTTTTTCTTTTTTTTAAAGAGAAAATGTGTAGTGTGCATAAAATTGCTATATAGAATTAATGACAATTTAATTGAAGTTAAAATAGTATAGTATTAAAATTAATTTATTACTGTAAATAATTAGATCTTGTTTTATTAAATTAAGTTTTTCTATAAAGCATAATTTATAATTATAAAAATTATTTTAAAAATTTATGTAAGTTTTACGTTTAAAAATGACTTGTAACTAACTTGTAAATTATGTATATTTTTCTTAGTATATTAAAGATTGTTATTAAATTATAGGATTTATAAGGATAATCATCCTACAGTGCTATACAGTACATAAAAGTTTTAAACCTGTAGGTCCTAATACGACTTATCCGTTGATATGATCCTTGATAGAGCGTTTTCGAGTTAAATTAGGCCAATATTTAGTGGTCTAATTATGCCCTTACATTCAAATTCTAAATAAGGATAATAAACGTTTGAATCTTTACTGTAGACTAATAAATTATGAATGAATATAGGCCTATGAACGTAACAATTTACATTATTAACATTTAGCTTAAGTATTAAATTTCTATGCTCATTTATAACATGTCAATGATGTTTGAGAATGGAATAACATAACTTGAAATGTAATACTTTTTAAGTAAACCTGAACTTGATAGATTAAGAAAGGGGGAACACAGCAAATTGTTATTCCAATATGGGGTGTAGATAAAAATAAAGCGGACCCGGCCCAGTTCGAGTCTATCGGATGAAGAAGGACAGGCCTCAGCTGTTACATCCTGCAAACGGCCTTGCGGGATTACGTCGGACCAATTGGCCATTTGAACGCCGTACGGTTCGCCCTGGTGTAAAATAACGTCAATCCAGATGTCACTACATCCGCTAAACCCGTAATCCGACAATAAAACCGCCATTGACTCCCCCTTTCTGTCGCCCCTCTCGGTCCCCGAGCTCGAAGCAGCATAGAATAAGAATGCTTCTTTACGGCTTTCGACGGCAATACATCTAATAAACCCTTATATTTTTTCACCTAAATATTCAATTCTAACTTTTATTTAAATTTTATTTATGTTTTACCATGCTTAATATCCTAGTAATGCCTGTAAACCGCATCATTTTGATGAAAATTAGTGTGATAGATAAACCAGGTTATAAGGTTAATTCAAACGTATTTTCTTAGGCCTAGAGATTTTATTAATTATAATTATTAGACTACTTTTCTTAGAAAAGTATGTAACTCAGGCCTTTCTCTACTGTTGAATACAGTATTCAGGTTCTGTCATACGATATGGCCTTAACTCTAAGAGGTCGAATCCTCTTATATTCTAAAGATATTTAACAGAAAAAATTCTCTATAAGTCCTTAATCTTAATAGGCTATAATAACTGGAGATAGAAAAAGTTAAATATCAAATAAAATATACCTTTAGAAATTAATGATTATGTAAGCTTTTAAGGCAGTGTTTTAGAGCTAAAAAGCAAAATAATTTAAGGTTTTGGGGTTTAAATAAGGTTTTCGAATAGGACTTAAACTCTAAGTTTATATTTAGGTTAAATAATTTAAATGACGATTTAAAGCCTATATTTTAAAATAAAAATTAAATAATTATCTACATTTTTATTAAATTAATGAAATTCTATCAAAATATAATTATAATACACAGTTTATATGTAAATTTTTTATAAAATGAAAGAGAAAATAGGTCTAACTGTTGTTAAAATTTCATTTAGTTTAGATTCATTTATTAGCTTTTCAGTCATTTGAACAAATTAGATCTGTCGTTACGACAATAATCAAGTTTATCTGAATAGTTTCAACGTGAAGATTGCCTCGAATTAATCTATCACACTTAAATTTAACGTTTAGTCTTTAAGTTATGTGACGATCTTACTAACAAAATGAAAATTACGTGTTACACGAATTAATAGACTCTCGCCTTCGAATTTCTTACTCGATTTAATCAATAAGACCTAAATATTTATCAGGGAGCGTATAATTCTTATGGTTAGCCACCCATAAGAATTATAGGCTCACTAATAAATTTTGATCTCGAGCGCTTCTATCCTCTTGAAAAATGATTCTGTAAAGCGTTATATCTCGACATCTAATTAACAAAATTGAGCATAGAATAAAAGTTTTAATATAAGGAAAGCAAATAAATCTACAACAAAAAACATACCCGTAATTCGACTAGTTAGCATTAATCTTTTTTTATAGTTTTCTCAGTACCCCTTTATTATAAGTCCGTACTCAAGACCCCTTTAGATTATGGGTCCTTCAACATATATCCCTTCCCTCTTTGGAGCATGTACAGTACTAATCAGTATTAGTATTAGGCTATTAGTAGTTCCCTCAGCATCCATCCATTATGTACAGTACATTTATTAAGGGCCTCCCGAGATCACGGGCCTTTCTATACGTGTCTCCCGCTCTCTGTAGGTGGCCATGAATCTATCTCATTTGTTTAATTTGTTTCAAGTGCATAATGTTTAAGATTAAAACTGTTCAGATTAAATTAACGAACTGTTTTAAAAAAATAAATAAATTATATTAAAAACGAATTAGTTTGATGTAAAAAGTTTAGCATTTTTAGATAAAATAGCATAAAAATGTATTTAATTTAAGTTATAATTTTAAAATCATACAGCTTATCGGATACAGAATAGAGCAAAATTTGAATTTAATATCGAAAGACTAACAATTCTACTGGCCGTAAAGGCTCCTTATTGATAACTTCAAACCTATAAATGGTTTTGGACAGCGATAAAACCCACTAATAGAATGAGGATGGGAGAAACCGCAACGTAACCACCTTAAAGCTAGAAGATAACCGAGAGCATTAAGGAGTACGGTTAATAAAAAAAGAGTAGAATTCATATTTTGACAAATGGTAGTTGGTTAGAATGGAACAATGTCCAGAGAAGAGGACAAGGCTCCTTTGAGCCTTTTAATTAAGAGCCGAACTGGGCACAAAGCGACCCCAATCGGTGACCGGTTGATGGATTGGTGCTCAATGACATCCCTTTAATTAAACTATTAGGGCGCCACTCCATTCACAAATCAATGAGCTAGTGGGGTGCACAAAAGCTAAACCTTTTCTCACATCCGAATTGACTGGAGAAAGATCTACATCAAATCTTCTGCTGTCGTCCGAACAATCGGATAGAACGAGATTTATTGGCCCAAAGTCCTTTCACATTGCCTGACGTCCGATTTTCCACTCGGAACCCGAAAAAAAAAGTGAATTGGATAGAATTTTCCGTTTTAAAACGTTGCAAAATCATCCCCCCAAAACTTAAACTTTGATCACGTTTTCTTCCTCCTCCCTATACTTTTCTTAATCCCTCATTGTTTTTAAATTTATTCATAAAACTCGTAATATTTACACAATATTTTACATAATACCCGTTTTATTCTTCCCTAACATTTACTTTCCTCTTGAATTTTCTTATAAAATGTATCATTCTATTGATGATATTCTTCCGAAGCAAGTCAACTTGACAGTTTGCTTATCATTAAACCTTACAACTTAATAAAAATAAAGAATTTATATATTAATTTTTAGTAATTTTTGTCATTCTGTAACAGTTAAATACATTTAAACTGTAAATTAGGCTATGAAAATTCTATTCAAAATATCATTTTCTATTTAAAATTCATGAATAAACGATACGGATAACGTGATTTATGTACGATTAACACCTTAACAAAGTTAGTTATTTTTTTTTAAATTTAAAGAATTTAAAGTCGTAAATAGTTAATAAGTTAATAATAAATTAAATATAATTTAATTTTTTTCTAATAATTTCTTATTTTCAAACGAATTATTACTTATTTTCTTAGTTTAATATAAGCCAAATCTAATCTTAATCACTCTTTTCCTTAATTAGATTTTAGCATAAAATAAACCAATATTTATTATTCGAAATAGTTCAGAAATGTAAAATATTTATTTTGCTATCAATTTATAAACGAACACTTAAGAAAACTTGAATTTATTTATTTATTTTTGAGTTTATTTTATTTTTTATTTTTTCGTTTAAATGGCGATGTGTTAAGGCAGAACAGATTATATATAGATCGTTGAAGCGTCGTCAAAAGTTCACCATAAAAACGAAAGAGTTTATGATTTTAATTTAACCCTCATAAAAATATCGTGTTTTACGACTCTTTACTATCAATATGGCGTCATTTGGTTCCATCTCCATTGGGTAGACTAAAAGTAATTGGATGAAGTTCTACCCTCCGTCTCTCTCTCTCTCTCTCTCTCTCTTCGAGAGAAGCTTTGCTTTCATGCTAACCCAATTAAAGTGTTACAAGTCACACCGTTTAACTGCTTCGCCCTAATTAAATGAAGAATTTTTCCCCCTCCCTTTAATAAAG